TGTGCATGCACCCAGAAGACAAAGGCCTTCTATGTATTGCTATTTGTAGCACGAATCCTCTACTTGAGCCTCAGACCTTCACATTGTGCTATTTCTTTCCACACATCAGCTTTGCCATTTTTATTTGGATGAAAATTGTGGGTCCTTAAGACACTGCTAAACTGAAGCTTCATCTGATTTCATAACTGTAGAAATAAGTAGAAAATGAATAGTTTGACTTCCTTGCCCATTAAGATAGAAAATGTATATCTGGAAAGATGTAGAGAAATAGCAAGGGTAAAATATTTGGAGCAATTACAAAACCTAGACTTACATCCTTTTCCTCATGTCTTCTCTGGCACACTCAGTGTGGCAAAGGCCTCCCCATGTTCTGAGTTGGAGCAATATGGGGTGATTGGGAATTAGGGACTAATTCAAATATATGTTTTTCACCCAGATTTCCTTCTGAATTCATACTGTCTAGCTCCTTTTGGCTTGGCCATTGGCTTTTGCCCTTCAGTTAGCTGCTGCCCCAATCCCAAATGGGGTCTGTTCAGTTTATCCAAATATAGCACATTTGACTCACGTGCTCTGTTTCTTATGTGAGGACCAGAGCATGTGCCTCCCAGGGCAGGATTTTAGGTTTGTGTCTTTCAGTCATATAGTAAGTTTCAGATTCTTTAATAAAGGTTTGTGAGAGCTTATTTTTTCCCTTTATAAAATATTTTGTATCTATCCTCTTAAGTTACCATCCATGTTTTCCCCTCAGTCTCTTTAATTTTTCCCTCTTGGTCCTCCCTTTCCTCCTTTAACATTATACTTTCACCCTGTGGCCTCTGAGCCTCCGTTCAGAAGGCTCCTCTCTTCCACGTGCCATATAACTGACTTCCAAAGCTGGTAAAATTTGATGCCCCCATTTTTCACATAAAAGATTTGGTTTTTAAATGTTACTGTGATGCAAACCTACTAAAATGATGCTTTATTTTGGCTGTAAGGTAAATATGTCTTTTGGCCTTTGTAAAGCTGTTGCATGTGGGATAATTTCCCTCTGATCATCTGGTGCTCTTAAATACCTGCTGTTGCTGCTTTGTGATTTCTTCATAGGTTAAATATTAGAATAGGAATAGGAGCAGATTTCAAATCCTACATGAGTATGCAGAAGTTTGTGAGGCCACAAGAACGTATTAATTACAAATTAAGAAAATAATTAATCTTTCCAGATTTGCCATGCCAATATTGGCAGTAGCCATTGAGAAGTTAAACACCTGGTCGTGGCTCCTATTGGAGCAGACTTCCAGGTAACTGAGGCCTTCCCAGAAACTTGTGATTTGCATCTTGACAATCCCTGTTTCTCCTTTAATATGTGATGTGCCAAACTGAGAACTAATATGGATTTTTAGAGTTACTTTAAAATATTAATAGCATCACTTTGATGTGTAGAATTCATGGCAGCTTACTCAAATGTCATTTCTGAATATCATTCTTCTTATGTAGCCATCTTACTTTTGAGTAGGAAATATTATTTATTGAAATACAAGAGTAATTTCAAAATTGGAGATGTATAAGAGATTTGTGGGCCTATTCCAAAATGGTACATGTTGAATGACTAATCTGGAAAAGGTTAATGATATTTACTGTAAGATATTTTTTTTTTTGAAATTTTTATTGGAGTATTAAACTTATTTGGAGTCCTCTCCGTTTCTTTTCTCTGTAGGTTTGCCCAAGAGAATGGTTCTGTTACCCGTTATGAAATTCCCAACATATCCTGTTCCCCACTACTCATTCTTTTAGCAAATGACAGAAGCTCATTCCTATTGAACACCAATACAGTACAATTCAGAATGTTAGAGAAAAAGCCTTTTTATCCTGCTTTCTTTGAACACATACTTGATCAAAATTATTTGTAAAGAACATCTTTCCTACTTTTTGATTTTAACAAATACAAATTTAGTTCTTTAAAACTTGAAAACAAACAAAAAAAGAGAAACCAGTTCTGTGAAACGGTACCTCATTTCTGGAAAATAATTTATACCAGCCCTTCTGTTCTAAGGAAATAAAAGTCTAGCAGTTCAAAGTTTTAAGATTTAAGAGAGTATCAGATTATGTAAAATTAAATTTGTGAAGGATGTATAGAGTCTCAAACACTGATCACAAATAAACTGCTTTGTTGTAACACAGAGTACTGCCTGGTTCCTGATGCAGTCACTGATTCTTAGCTGATTGATATGTACTTGCCCCAGGGCACTTTAATTCGGGCTGTAGTTATTTTTTTTTAAAAACAATAGAGACTTTTCATTTAAACTTTAACTTTGTAAATATTGAAGTGTGTAATTAAAGCCAATAAAATATGGGTTTGAATATTGTTTTAGCTTATTATTTTTGATATGCTTTGGTATCAAATTATAAGGAATTGCAAACTAATAATAACTTATCCCGAGAAACCCATTCATTTGTAAGCAAACTGCTAAAACAAGGCAAAAGCGATTGTTAGTTCCAGCTAGTCTACTTACTTTGTAAACCCTATGTACTCTGGTTGTACAAGGGTGTCCCCACGATAAAGGTTACATTCTGTTATCGTAGCATTGCTTATTAAAATGATGGCACTACCCAGAGATGGGGAAGGAGGAATGTGATTATTTTAGTTTACGAATTTCCAAGTTTTAAAAAATAAATTAATCAATCAATCACCCTCTTTTGTTCTTGTGGCCTTCTTCACTCTGTAAGATACTGTGTTCATTCCCTGACTTTTTTCATGCAGATAGAAGATTAGTGATTGATTTTTCTGGGATTCATTGAAGGGTTTCCTTTCCTCTTCAATTACATCAGAATCTAAAGCAGCAACAGGGTCCCCATAAAAACTTGCTCTTCGATTGTCCCAGTTCTTGTTGAGTGCTGCTGTGAAAAGTGACAGGTTTCAGCCATGGGTCAGCATTTATTTTTAAGACACCTGATTATGCTGGTGGAAATTGATCAATCGGTAACATTGTGCTGTTCTGTAAAGGGTGCAGACCGGAGACCTCCACTTGCATTCTCACCTTGTTTGGAAAGCCAATGATGTTACTAGAAGGTAATGGTTTCATTAAGGTACTCACCCCCATGAAGGCAACAGTGTGGTCCCCTGTCAATATTCGTCACTTTGTCTTAAAAATGTCTTTTCTTTTTTTAAACTATGAATTAGCTTTCCTTTTGCCTGTTAAATTGTGCTTTTTAGAACTGAGCAGTGCCCATCAGTGAAAGTGGGCTTCACAAAATATGACAAATTTAACATGTCATAGAGTTTTGGGGGACCACTAAATGAAGGTGAAGTGGGCAACCCAACACAGATGTTAATGTCAATTCTTGGATGTATATCACATAATTGTTTGTTCTTGACCTTTTGTCTTTATTAGTGGTGGGTGATACTTTAATAAAACCTCATCACTTGCTGGAAGTAGCTGTAATTTGTCATTCTCATCCTATGCATTAGCAGCTAGACATAAACAAGAAGGGCCCATTTCAGCCGGGAGTTTTCATGTTTCATTGATTCGTTTTGCTGACCTATGGATGAAACAGAGCCATCACTGAGAAGAAAAAGCATGGCTGGTAGTGTCCAATTTTTATTAATTATATGTTTACAGTCGTTCTCTTTCTTTGGAATACTAATAATTGGCAGCTGCGGTTGTATTGTTATTTGAAATTGATCATCAAATTTGGATTCCAAGTTGGAATCTCCCTGGAGATTTCTCTTTAGAAAATTCTTTTGAAGTAGCTGACTCTGCTTCAGAACTTAACCCCTCTCTGATGGAGAAAAGGGAGCTGTGCTGTTTTCCAACATGATGGCAGTCATTTCAAATGGTTTCTACCAAGTCTTTTTTTTTTTTTTTTTTAATTTTGTTGTTTGTTGGAAGTTACTAACCATGTTGTAAACCTGCCCAGTTGCTGCAAACTTTTACATTTCTCTGCTTTACTTAAAATAATTGAGCTGTCAGTCTTTCGTTAGAAGTGATAACCATGCAAGTTCAACTGTTAAAATTCTGTAATGAATTAAGTGTCCCCCTACCTTTTACCCTTCCCACCCCTCCATTTTGTAATGAAAATTCCACTTACAGCTGAAAGAGCAGAGAAATATAAATGAAGCTCTTGGCTTCACCAAATTGTGTGAAATTAACATAAAGTTTTGCTTCTCTGCTCTTTTCTCCACTGTAGGTGGTTTTTTCATTGACAGCCCCTATTGCCAGCCTCTGAGCGTCGCACCATTTATTATTCACTTGGGCCCTCAAGATTTCTTCTCTGACTTCTAGAACCATCAGGTTGTCTGGCTTGAAATGGCAATTTCTCTGTCTTGGTCTTAAGAGCAATGTGATACCCTGAGGCTTTCCAGCTTTCAGATACACCACTCTGACACCTTCTTTTTGAAAGCAATGACTGAGCATTTTAAAGAAGAGCAATACTTTGTCCAAAGCCACGGTGTCTGTTTAAAAACTTTTCCTTTGGAAACCTAGCAATATCTGTATTTAACCCCTTTTAGTGTAGCTTTTGTCGGGGAGTTTACAGACCAATGTAGAATTTAAGAATTTGCGTGTGAGCTGTGCTAATCTTCTGACACTTTTTAAAACTTTTTTAGCACATAAATTGAATAGTTACATTCCTGACTGAGTCAGCTGGCACTATTATTTTTCCAAGCTAAGGGTTCTCCTTTGTTGAAGCCATATCTTTTTGTGGGGGCTGGCGCCTCACTAGGGATGTGGCTATGGGAGCACCCATTTCTCATGCCAGATAATGGTCCAATAGATTTCCAACATACCTCATGCTGACGAGGTGGAGCGAATAGTATGGAAAAGCAAGGAATCAGGTTGACGTGGTTCCTGATATTTATAATCTCTCTCAAATTGTTAACCTGGGGAACAAAACGACTAATCAATTTTGCTGGCATTAGCCAATTCTTTTTCTCTTTTTAAAAATTTTGGGTGAATGTTTGAGAATCACAAATCAGTCACCATTGTTAATTGAAGAGCTGGGAATACCTCGTTAATGTATTTTTAAAATTGGTGTTGGACCCTCTGTGTATTTCAGGTTAATACTTTTAAGCAGTTTTCAGCACGTTTATCTCACTTTATTCTCGTTCTCCTCGGACCTTCGTAGCCATATCACTTGTATAAAATAGGCTGAGATATAGTGACTGTAAGCTGTGATCTCAGTATACAAAGGTAAGCACTTTTATTTTCTGATTAAAGCGAAAAATAATTAACACACCCTGCATATATGACAATCATATATGATGTATTTGATCTCTTAGGACTTACGTCATCACATTACCTTTAAAAAATTTATGATCTAAATGTGAAAGAGTTAGCTTCCGTATTTGTTTTAATACCCTTGTACATGCTTTTTATTCAAGAGAGACATTTCACGTTCACTGAGTTAAATGTGTGTATGTGTGTAGAAACTAGGATATACCATGTATGTAAATTACACAGGTACTTGTTTAAATATAAGAATTAAATGGTAGGTAGGAGCAGTTCACCTAAGAGGAGTTTAATGACAGGCCACTCTTGGCCAAAGTGCTGGAATTTCAGAAGTAGCAAGATTGGTGACCATGCTAGTAGGATCTCTATATGTAGCTATTATATGAAATGAAGATCAAAGTGCCAATTTCTCAAGGAGAGAAACTTCTCTGAGAAATCAAAATCTCTGATCTGTGTTGTATGTCCAAATACAACAACAGCAAGAAGCCATAAAAAAAAAAAAAAAGCAATAGAAAATGAAAAAAACCAAACCATTAAGGTAACTATGGGAAAACCGATAATTGACTGAGTTAAGCTAATTATTTGCAGGACCAACTTTGCAAGACTCAGAAAGTTGAATAATTTTTCTGTGGAGACCAAATAGATTTAAGGCAATTCATCTGTCTCTTCCAGGTTAGGTAGCTAGAATATTTATTTCCCACCTCATTTAGCCATCTTGGGGTTCGTTTAAAATACGTGAGGGTTAGGCCAAATATTTTAATAAGGATTTACTTCATTTAGTGTTTCCATAAATGTATTTCATTATGTGTTAGATGTTCTGTGCTAAGACTTTGTGTGAGAGAGAGAGAGAGAGTGTGTGTGTGTGTGTGTGTGTGTGTGTGAATTTCATGTTGTGTATTTGTTTCTAAGTAGCAATTTCTGTTTATTGCTAACTGTAAGATTGCTAGAACAACTTTTCTCTCCCCGGTACAGAATCCGTGTATACATTTCACCTGGCTTTGACATCTATAAAAGGTTGTATAAGGTAGAGTTGACTAGTTCCCAGGGCAGCCCAGTTCTACTCAAGCAGCCCAGTGCCTACTATGTGTGGAGGTGCTTTTCTGGGTGCCAGAGAACTAGGCTTCAACCAGTGGAAGCATTTTAAGTCTTGAGAGTCTCCTTGTTGTTAGAATTGGTCCTGTTATAAATATCCTACTTTGTGAGGCAAATAGTGTGTGGTTAGCTGTAGCAAAAGAATATTAATTTAGTTAATGGCATTGTAAACTACTGAACAATGCAGGCTGTCTGACATCACTGAAATTGGCATAACTTGGAAATTCACTCACTTAATGTATTTCCCTGGCACTTTTTTAAAAAAAAAAAAAACATCTTTACTTCATTTATTTATTTTTATGTGGTGCTGAGGATTGAACCCAGTGCCTGGCATGTGCTAGGTGAGTGCTCTACTGCTGAGCCACAACCCCAGCCCTCCCTGGCGCTTTTGAGGGCCTGAAACCTGCTCTGGTTTTCTTCATGGACCTCTCTGTCCAAATTCGTGAGCTGAACAAAATGAAATGATAAATACTTTAGTAAGCATTTTTTATAGTGTAACAAAGAAAAATATATTTTAGCCTTGTACCACATTATTTGATGACATTTGGAAAAGTTTTACTCTTACAATTAATCATTCATTATAATTTCCCTGTTTTTCATATTTCATTAGTAAATGTAGTAGAGGAAAATATTCAGTAGTGAGTTATGGGAAAAAGCAAAAATTTTTTTTCTTGAGGCAGTTGGATTTCTAGCAATCCAGAGCCTTAAACACCAGGGGCATTAAGAGCAGTTAAAGCTGAAAACAGTTTGTTCTGTGAATGGTCTTCTTGTAATTCCCATTCTTCTTATGCCAGTGCCTTCTACGGGAGGTGGGGGCATCTCTGAAGTCATCCAGAACAAGGATGGTATCATGGTGTTCTCATCATTGTTTATTAATAATGTGATGCCATATAGTGTCCATGGGTTGCTCAGTATTACCAGGAGACCTGGAAGAAAGATGGGTGGCAAATGAATAACGGCCAAGACACTCACTGCTGCTGAGTTGAGTTTCAATATTGGTGTGTTTTCTCTCTAATGCTTATTTACAGAGCACAGAGCTTCTTATGTAAGAATGAGTCTCTTCTTTTTCTAACAGCATCTTCCATAAATACTGTTTTAAGTCAAGAATTCAAATTAAGTTAGTTGTAAGACTAGATATCCTTTTCCACATTGTGGTTTCAGTTAGGAGTTAATAGCTTTCATTGATGTTTGAAGTAGTGATCTTTGGAGGTTTTTAAAAATAGTACCATAATGCAAATTAGGTTATATAAGCTTTACAGCAGAGCTAGAAATAAGGAATAGAAACCATGTGGGAATCTGGGCTAAAGTATTTTTCTCACTCCAGCACATTCCCCTGGGGCTTGGCAATCAGATGAGTTAATACACATAAAGTGCTTTGAACTGTACCTAGTGCATAGGAAGTACTCCATAAATGCTGAGTCTTCTATGTTTGGCCAAAGTGGAAGGTATGTGCGGGAGGCAAGGCTCTGCTGACAGGTGACTGAGAAGCAGGTGCACGGCCTGCTTAGGATGGAACTGTGTTTGTTCCCAGGATCAGTGAGGGTACTCCTAGCTTCAGGAGTTACATAAGAAACACAAACCAAAGCTCTGCTGATTGCTACTGTGGCAGGAAAACTGCAGGCCTGAAGCATTGCTCATGTTTCTGCTGTAGTAGTTAATCACCAGCCAGTCTGCTGCCAAGGGTTTGTAAATAGTTGTTTTGGGACTTAAGGATGTTTAGAATTTCACAAGGCTGAGATTAGACAGTACACTGTTGATTCTTAAGTTTCCTGCCAGTGCATTAATAATTAAAAAACCCTCGGTGTTTGATTACAGTTACCACCAGAATCTGACCTTCAGGGCTCATGGTGTTTGGTGGGCAGAGAACAAGTTAATCCAAGCCACAGAAAGGAGAGGCCCATCCTAGGTGACATGCTTAGAAGGCTGTGTATTCAGATGCTTCTCTGAAGAGATCCCTGCACTCATCTTTAGTTTGCTTTGACATTTTGGGGGGAATACCCAGACTTGATATCACATGAGCCTCCCTTCTGTTAATCTTAGGAAAAAACGTTTATCAGTCTTTTCAACTCTCTGTCCATTTATCTATTTATCTACCTGTTGGATACAGTTGGGACATTGCTGTTTGGCAAGAGGAAAAATGGTTAGATAGTGATATTGCTACTGTTGGACTGAATATAAAGTATACAGCTTACCCTCCATTCCTGGCTTACACATGTCTGCAAATAATTCAGGAGACTCTGAAGAAAGGTGGTAGGTGTACCCTGGCTCTTGGTAGGAAGTGAATTAAGTGGGGAACACAGATTGAGCTGTGAGATGCTCTAAGTTTATAAATATTACTTTTAAAGTAAGATGGATTTGCATTGCAGTCAACAGGTTTTTCTTAAACCAAAAGGTAGTGGACCTGGCAGAAGTCACTGAATTCTCCTTAGCTGAGGCTCTTGGTAGAATCTTTGCCTCATTGAACCAACATTGAGGGATGATCCCCCAACCCCTAATTAGTTATTAACATCCTAATTTCTTGCTTCTCCTGAGGAATGTTGTGGTCTTTCTAAGCAGAACTTTGCTGCATGTGCAGTTGACCATGGCTGCCTCTGCTGGGTTGTGTAAAGCTTTCCACCATTGGCCCAGGCCACATAAACATGTCTAACTTGCATGCCCTATCTGGAGATGTATGGTGCTGGGAGCCTTCAGGAAGGAATAGGATTAGTGTGGCCACTATTAGGACTTTATCCTCAGCATTGCCTAGGGGTCCAGTCTCTCTTTGTTTTGTTTTAGGTTCTCCTACCTTTATCTGTATTCCAGTGTCAGCTAATGGCCCAAAGTTATTCAGTTAGTTGCAGCCTTCTGTTTAGGTCATTTTGGGCCATCCTCAGGAGATTAAAGCCTGCAGAGTGGGAGAGAGGAAGGCAAGTTGCCAGAGTTGGTAGCCTGGACATCCACGTACCTGGATATTTTTCTTAACTCTCCAACAACCTTCTTGGAGTTGGTATTATTTCTGTTTTACAGATGAAAAAATCTGATGCTCCAAGTGCTAGATCTAGAAATGAAAGTCAACTCTATTCAATGCCAAAGTCTATTTATATTAGGTATGTCACGGACTACCAGGTTGGGGATGAAGGCTATACCTGGAACCTGAGCCTTCTGATCTGGGGACAACCAAGACCAGAAACCCTGATCTTAAACAGGGATCATTTTTAGAACAATAACAAATTGGAAAGATGAACTGAAAGGGGCTGTATCAGCAGAGGAAGCTTTTGTATTTAAAGCTGCTTCTTCTGTTTGAATATTAATGAGAATCTGAGGTACATTTTTCCTTAGCTCATGGTTCTGGATACTTGCTTCCTGGCTGGAAAAGGTTATGGGGATGTCTTCAAAGACTGAAACTTGGCTCTGAAGGGAGGCTGGTGAAGTTTTGGCTGCATGGTAAAGGGAAGAGAGGTAGGTAGGTGGGGTGCGGGTGTAGGGAGACATCCCTGGATAGGGACAAAGAGAGTGAGGGCAGTGGCAGTTTGCAGGGCCTGTTCTCACTAGCAGGAGCTTCCCTTACAGCGGACATCAGGGTGCTCTGGTGGCCTGGAGCTTGCATCTTCCCCTTGTTGGGCCTGTGCTTGGTGAACTTGGCATGGAAAGCCCTGGGGTCTCTAATTTGCTGCATGCAGGCCATTCTGCTTTGTGTGTCTGATTGTGTTGCTGCTGCAAATCACTGCCCGGCTTCTTTGCTAGTTGATCCCAACTCAGTCTCCACTTGGGGTAGGTGTGTGTGGGGATGGATTCAGAATCCTTTTTAGGGAAAAGTATTCCTCACCAGCCCGAGTCATTGTTGTCTTTGATAATTGGCAGATTTTCTGAGCAGCCCACTGTCATCCTGGAGGGGAGAAAGAAAAGGGAATCTTTTAAACCGAGTTGTAGAGCACTGATGTGTGAGGCAGGCAGGAGTCCAGCCACCTGGCATGGTTAGAACACAGGACTCTGCAAAGCCCCTTTCCACTCTATATTGCATTTCCTGGAGAAGCAGTGATGCAAGAATTGCAGTTCCTGCTCCGCAGACAGATGCATAGAGGTCTCTCTTAACTACCCTGTTTATTTGTGGTGAAATACTCTGGTTCCTAATTAGTAAGTTTTTAACCACTCAGAAGAAATAACATTTTTCTTGCTGATTTGAGAGTTTAGTATTGAATTCTCCAACAGTCGGATCTGGAAATCTTTTCCCTTTCCAGTAAGGAAATGGGGCTTAAATAAAGTGACTTGCCTCGAATCACACAGCTCTCCGTGGCAGAACCTGCAGACTCTGATGCTACCTGTTAAGTAGCAGTGCTGTATGTACATCCCTCACTCAGGCAGTGACTGTCCTGTTTTTCCAAGGCTATTAGGCACCAGTGTCCCCTTTCTCTAAAGCATTGACCTCACCTTTTTTTCTACACTTTGTGGCTGTATCCTGCAGGACTTAAAACAAGCAAAAATCAACCCACCCTCTCTGACTTTCCTCTGCCTCCATAAAACTAAGACTTCCTGGGCCAGACAGCCTAGTTTTTTCAGTTGCAAGTTTGAGTCTGTTTCCACAGATCATCTTTTCATACCATAATTGAAACTATAATAAAGTGAATGTTCAGTATCAGCTGCTTGAGGAGATGCCTGGGCTGGAAGGAGCTGGGCAGGGCACATGCTGTTAGAGGTATGATTTCATGGTCAGCTTCCTCTACACTTTGGTTGTTGGCCACCTTCAACATGTGCCCTAGCCAAGCGGTCACCCTCCCAGTGACATGCTTTCCAAGTTCTCTGATGCAGGGCTTTTTCTTTATGTAGATAATTGCAGAAGTCACTCTACTTTCTAAAATCCCTTGTGTCCTAAGGGGAAATCTGGAGGGCATCATTCAGGAGGTAAAACAACTTATGGAGGTTGGTACCTGAGGGATTCAGGAAAGCTGATGGCACCTTGAAATGAGATCAGGGGATTAGGATGTTCAGGCTAGTGAAGGGGAGGCCTGGGACAAACGTGGGTACTCACAATTTTAAGGGCAATTTGATCTAGAGCACATCTCCCATGAGGGTAGATGGAGTTCTTTGGAGAGCAGGCTGGGTGAGAAATGAGTTCCTTGTCATCAGCGTGGTCACAAAGCCAGTTGTTTGGACCAGGCATGGTGGCATATACCCGTCATCCCAGCGACTTGGTAGGCTGAGGCAGGAGGATCACAAATTTGAGGCCAAACTCAGCAACTTAGTCCCTGTCTCAGAATAAGAAAAACTGAGGATGTGCCACACTGAGGGTGTGAGGGAGTACCCCTGAGCCCAGTCCTCAGTAGCAAAACAAAAAAAACAAAAAACCTGCCAGTAGTTTGGACAGTGTAGACGAGATTCATTCCATTTTGGACCTAACTCTGATGGGATTGTTGACATTGCTGAGACAGCATCACTCTTCCTGGGCATATGGATTTATTGAGAAAACATTCACTGTACCTGCTACTTTGTGCCAGGCTCTGTGTTGGGTTGAAGGAGCAGTTGGAGGTTTTCAGCTTAGAGAACTGAGAAGGGGAGACCATTGAGGGAGAAGGAAGGGTGCAGAAAGGTAAAGGAGCATGCCTGGGGCTTGAACAGAACCCGAACTGTCTCCTGTAGTAGGCTCTCATCATTATCTCTGCCCCCTGCCTAGAGATGCTGTCCTCCTCCCTGACAGGAGAGGCGCCAGGCTTGTGATGTGACTGACCTGACAGAAGGGGCTTAAAAGTTACAGCAGTTCTGATCCAAGTGGCATAATCTTCCCATCAGGATGGCATGGAGCTGGGTGGGTGTTTGCCTGGTGAGGGAGTGGAGAAGGGGACCTTACCAGGGGAGCTGCATGCACGGAAAAGCATGCTCCACTGGGCAGCACAAAGTGCTTTGTTATGGGGTCTTGGTTGGTTAAGAGGGTGAGGTGGCAGTTGAGATGTGTAGTTAGGGGTCACTTTGTGAAAGGCCCGGAGTGCTGTGCACTTCAGTGATTCTCATCAGCCAACAGGTGAGATTATTCTGGAGAATTGATTTGGATAGCTAAGGACAAGGCAGGGCTGGTGAGGAAGTGGCTGTTGCTGATGCCAAGTGAGGGTGAGGGCTGACGGAGCTCCCAGCAGAGAGGGAGGCAGGAGTGAGGTCTCCACATGAGCCAGGCTTCTCTGCTGATTGAGCAGGGACACCCTACAGCCTGCCAGAGCTCTTCTCCAGGTTACTGTTCAGCAGGTGACAGAGCAACTGAAAGTGCCTTGGACCAAGATGGAGGAAGGAGGAATTTGCTAAGAGTGCAAAGCACTGGGATGTAGCAGGAGCTGCTTCTGCTGGGTTAGGAGATGGGGCTGTGCTGGGAAGCATCTCTGTTGGTTGACCTCTTTACCCTTTCCCTGAGTTTCAATTGGCTGGGCTTGCCAGTCAGCACAGCTATAGGTACTGGCTGTTCCTTTACACCAAGGTCTTTTGCTTTTCAAAAAATAATGCCCTCCCATCCCTGCCCCCATGTGGGTGAGGGCTAGCACTTATTAGATTCATCATCTGTGGGACAAGGTCTTTTGCTAGTGGGAGGGTGCAGGCCTTCTTAAGGAGAGAGAAAATGGAGGCTGAGATTACTGATTGCTTTGATCCTCAGTTTTGTGTGTCTCAGTCCTGTTACCTCTGATTTGTCCTGGACAGGCTGATGGAATCACACACACACACACACACACACACACACACACCCACACCCACCCAGTCCCCGCTCCTTTTTTATAGTGCTTCTAAAGGAACCCAGAGCCACATGCTCCATCATGTCTAGCCATTCAGGGTGGGTTTCTGCACCTCTGCTGGGGACTAGAGCTCAAGAGGCAGCCCTTTTGGTTTTTGAAAATTAGTTATATATAAAACTTTAGGATACATTTTGACATAATCACAAAAACATGGAATATATTTTGCTCTAATTCAGTCCCTGGCACTCTCTCCCAGCTTCCTATGCTTTCCTCCCTCTACTAATCTTTCTGCAATTTATTTATAGTGTATGTTTTTTTTTTTTTTTGAGTACCAGGAATTGAACCCAGGGGTACTTAAACCACTGAGTCATGTCCCCCAGCCTTTTTTATTTTGAGACAGAGTTTCACCAAGTTGCTCAGGGCCTCACTAAATTGCTGAGGGTGTCCTTGAACTTGGCAATCCTTCTGCCTCAGCCTCCTGAATCACTAGGATTATAGGTGTATGCCACCCATGTCTGGCTTTTATTTTCTCCCCCAGTATCTTGTGGGTCTGTATAGTTATGTTGGGATTCACTGTACTACGTTCCTGTATGTACATATGAAACTTTGGTCAGATTTCATTCCACTGTTATTCCCTTTTCCTGTCCCTCCTTTTTTTCCCTCAGTGCCTCCCCCTTTCCATCTACTCTACTGATCTTTTTTCTATTTTGATGACGTTATCTCTTTTTTTCCTCGCCCCCCAACCCCTTATTTTGGATTAGTTTCTGCATATCATAGGAAATACTTGACCTTTGTCATTTTGGGACTGGCTATGTTCACTTAGCATGATATTCTCCAGTTCCATCTATTTACCAGCAAATGCCATGTCATTGTTCTTTATGACTCATATTCCATTGTGTGTGTGTGTGTATTGTGTGTGTGTGTATTGTGTGTGTGTGTGTGTATATATATATATATATATATGTGTGTGTGTATATATATATATATATATATATATATATATATATATATATGCATGCCACATTTTCTTTATTCATTCATGTATCGGAGGGCATCCTGGACTGGTTTCATAGCTTGGCCTATTGTGAATTATGCCGCTATAAACACTGATATGGCTGTGTCCCTGTAGTATGCTGATGTTAATTAAATCTTTTGGATATATACCGAAGAGTGGGATAGCTGGGTCACATGGTTCTGACCCATCCCTAGTTTTTTGAGGAGTCTTTGTACTGCTTTCCAGAGTGGTTGCACTAATTTGCAGTCCCAACAATGTACTTTTTCCCTTACATCCTCATCAACATGTATCATTGTTTGTATTCTTGATAATTGTTATACTACAATGAGATGAAATGTCAATATTGTTTTCATTTGCATTTCCCTAATTCCTAGAGATGTTCAACATTTTTCATGTATTTGCTGACCATGTGTATTTCTTCTTTTGAGAAATATCTGTTCTTTTGCCCACTTTATTGATTGGGTTATTTGTGTTTTTTTTGTTTGTTTTGTTCTTGATGTTGTTTTTCTTTTTTTTCTAATTTTAGTTGTAGATGGACACAATGCGTTTCTTTATTTTTAAGTGGTTCTGGAGATCAAACCCAGTGCCTCACACATGCTTGGCAAACGCTCTGCCACTGAGCTACAGCCCCAGTCACTGGTATTAAGCTTTTTGAGTTTTTGGTTTTTTTGGGGGGGGATATGAAAGCCCTGAGGAGCAGGTGGCATTAATATCTTCTGTCATTCTCCTATTCTGTAGGCTCTCTCTTCACACTCTTTTGTTTCTTTTGGGCAGCTCTGGTTTTGAAGCCTTAGGTCAGAACTTTGAAAGGGTTATAGGTGTACACAAACACATCCCTGCCATCCTTTGGGTGGCTAGAATTCCAGGGCCAGGTATCTCTAAGTTGCCTTGTCTGTTTACCCTCATGGGCCACACAGTGTCATTCATGTGTGTTACACTGTGACGATTATGGATGCACTGTAGCTCTGGAGCCTGCACTTCTGTGCAGCATCAGACACTCTGGTCAGTATTCCAGGCTTTTCAGACTGTGTGGTCTATCACTGCTACTCCCCTCTGCCATTGTAGCACAGAAGTGCCTCAGACGTGGTGGATGTTGTGTTCAATAAAACCAGAACAGGGCCATATCTTCCATCTTTTGCCTTAGACTGTAGAGATGACATACCCTTTGACTTAATCGTAGTGGCAAACTACCTTCCTATCTGCTGCCTAGGCCCATGTATCTTTCTGTAGTGGCTTCCTGTGCGCCTCTCCTGGGTGAGCATTAAGGAAGAGGATGGTGGAGCCCCTCCAAGAAGGAACTTCAATTTTGAGTGACAGGTGGGACACTGAAAGGGGAGTACAGTTGTGGTTAAAAATTGAAATACAGTGCGGGGCTCAGGAAGGTTCGCAGTGATAGCCCTCAGAGGAGTGAAGTGCTGAAATGATTGGGGAACGCTCTAGGGAGAAAGCAGCTCTAGAGGCTTAGAAGAGGAGGGACAGTTCCTTCAGGAAATGAATAGCTCAGATGGTGGGTGAAGTTGTGTTATGGAGGGAACTTGAATGTCATCACATAGGCATGGAGGCCAGCTTGGGAAGGATCTGAGGTGCCACAGAGTGCAGGCATTTTTCTCTGGGCAATGAGCAGCCAGTGGATGTTGTATTCAATAGGGTAAAGTCACAGATGCATTCAGAAATATCACTCTGGTCTTGGGAAATCACGTCTGTACAAATTATACCTCTTAAGTTTAGTCTAGACTTTTTCACCAAGGGATGGGTAACTCTTGGTCCTGGGGTTGGAAAGCAAAACCCAGAGATTTGGATGGTTTTTCTAGCCATTGGCTTTAGTGGGTCAGTTGAGTGCCTCATTTTTGTTTTTGAAATGACAGAGCTTGACAAATCTTCCACTTCAGGCTTTTTTGGCCTGTGATCCTGAAGATCATTAGGACGGGCAAAACAAAGTTTTAAAAACATTTTGTCTGAAATCTACCTTTGGTATAGGGCCTTGGTGTATGATGGAAAAATGAACAGAGACTATGCCCCCTTGCTTTGGAATCAAGTCACAAGGCACGTATTGCTGTGTGGAGCAGACTTGCTTCCCTTCTCTGTGTGCTAGGCTGGGTGCCGCGTGCAGGTGCTGGTCTGTACCCTCCAGGAGCCTGCAGATTACTTAAGGCAGGTGGAAGCCGGTACCACTTTGAGAGGTACATCACAGACTGACTGCTCAGGGCCAGGCCTCACAGTGTGTGGGGTGCGGGACTGCTGTGAATCAGACATGGCACAAGGCCCCACGAGGGCTTCTCCAGGTAAACATACTTCCTGCTCTGCAAAGTGTTTTCACTTGGGGTTTCTAGGCAGGTTGAAAAGAGCTATATTCATAGATCTTCAGAGAACATTGGTGACAGCCTAAGGCGCTGAGTGCTGCTTGCTCTCAGTGAGACTGTTAATCTGTGAAGGATTTGGAAGGAATCCTAGAGAAAACGTGCCTTGAGGCCTGTTGGCTGTGGTCTTTGGTCTTGTCCAGCGCTCTCTCTAGGAGGGGGCGTAAGCCTTGGATTTTGCTCTTGTCTTCTCTTGGGGATGTGGGATGGCTCCAGGACCTGACACAGCTGTATCACTTCTCATCTCTTACAAGTAGTCCTTGCATTTTTCTAGAGAAAAATGTTTCTGGATTGACGGAAGAGAAAATGACAAACTTGAGGCTGGTATAGATGGAGACTGGCCCTGGCTTTGGAAGACTGTAGCCTGTCCCTGGCCAATACACCAGATGTAGCCTTTCCTTGGCAGCCAGTTCTGTGCTGTGCTGTACCTCACAGGAAGGCTCTTGTCAGCATTGTGAGTCACTTACAGAACTAAGGCCACACCTGGGTGACCCTGTGCTAGCCTTCAATCTAGGCTCAATGTCATTTGTCCTTGCTGGGCAGGGAAACAGAGGGTCAGAAAGTTGTGGGTTAAAATTTTTTTCATATATATATATATATATTTGTTGAAGGAAATGAATCAAGAGCAGGGACAGGAGTTTAGGTGGCTAGGAAGAATATCTTTAAGGTTCTTCTCCTCTTGTAACTTAGAAAGTTGGATTGTTTCTAGCTCTTTCCCCTCTTCTGGGTGGCTCACCCTCTCCACCCTTCCAGGTCTAATGCTGGATCTCTGCTCGTGGTCTGTGACAAGACAAGTGATTCAGCCACACTGGTCTCCTTGACATACTATCCACATCTCTTTGGACCCTGCATCAACTTATTGCTTCCCTCAGCTGTAGCTTTGGCCACCCCAGGTGGGCCCATGTGTGAGGTGCCATATAAAAGCCAGGTGAGCCTTGCTTCCAACATCCTCTGCTGTCACCAGATATGCTGCTATAGGATGCATTCCTTTCCCTCCATCACCTGTTGAGATTGGCCCTATGTAACCCACATCTTTGGGGTGCTGAATGCTGCTTTTCTCCTGGCTCATTTAGTATGGCAGCTTTTCAGCCATGGGATCTACCATGGCTATGAGAGTGGTGCTTAGCTCCATTTACTTCATTTTGTGGAGAGGAAGGCTCATCTGTAGAAACTGGGCTAGGGAGTGATTGTGGGTGTCTTCATGGCCTGCTTGCCATCTCCCAGGATGAGGGTGGGCTCTGGCTGGCGAGTGGTATCCAGAGGGACTTCTTCCAACAGCACATCAGGACTCAGGTGGGCAAAGTGACTGCTCAGTCCAGGTGGGAACAACCTGCTATTGGGCAGACAGGTACTTTAGCCCCTACCAGAGCCCTAGAGCATCTTTGCATTCAGGCCTTTCACCCTGGATCCATCTATCTGGCCCTGTTGTGCTCAACTTTTGGTCTCTTAAGTGGTCGGTTAGGGCCCAGCCACTCCTTTGGGAGACTGGTCTTCTTACTCCATGCTAGGGCAAGCGCACTGCCAGGAACATTGAGGCTCTTGGGCCCAAATGCAGTGATATCCTTGGGGGTTTGGCCTGGGGTTGGCCTCAAGCCATCAGGCCCCCAGCCCAACTGCTGTGGTAGGGTTTTCCTGCCTTGTGTTGTAGTGTTCTGGTGGCAGAGCCTGTTAAGCTTGCTTCTCACCCACTCCAAGCAGACAGAGCTCTGACTGGGAAGGAGTGGAGAAGTACAGCAAGTGTGAACTGAAGCTCTGGGCTGTTAAGATGGGGCTCCCTCTTAAGGAAGAGTAGGGTTGTCTGGCTTCACTTCAGCCCTTCCTCAGCTCCAGGGCCAGGGTACAGGAGGCAGCCATGTGTGGTCGTGGGTAGAAAAACTTTCCCCATCACACGGTTACACACGTGGCATTCGACTCCTGGCTGTAGCTCGCTCTGGTCTGGTGATGAAATTAGCTTTTAGAAGTCTATTTAAAATATCCCTATCTATTTATTGTGTTTTCCTGAATACACAAGTGTAAATAGTATAATTTTGCAGTGCAAAGTCCTTGGCAATAACTTTATGTTGTGTGTTATGTTAAAAAACATTGGAAACCACATCCACCATGGACTGTCTGCCCCACCGGGGCAATGGTCACATGTAGGACTGAACTTGACACCGTCAGCGTGGTTGAAGCAGCAGCCTGCATGTGTGGACTCACCAGTGCCTCGCCCAGAGATGCCTGGCCTTCACCCAAAGGGACCCTGCTGCCCCGACTTCCACAGGCAGCACCCACACTGTGGCTACTTTGTGCTGAATATGTTGGACTCTGCTGTAGACTGATAACTCTTGTCTGGCTGCTGCAGTTTGTCTGTAATGCCCTGACATGTTGCATTATCCCTCTTTGGATGAATACAAATAAATGCTTCTGTGTTAATGGCAGTGGACTGAACCATTCTGTGCAGGACCCACTCTGGCGGAACAGAGACTCTGGCTCAAAAGGTTCTAGTGCTGGCCCCTCTCACCTGGCCTGCAAGACCAGCTCAGTATGTCTCACCAGATCCTCCCTCACACACAGGATGAAGGGCTCCTGACAAAGCCAGTGGGATCAGAGCTTATTTCATGTTCTTGTCTGTGGTCCTTAAAATTCTGCTCGTAAGTGAAAAAAGTTTACTCCACATGAAACTTCTAGCTGGCAGCCTGGCTCAGTGAGTGAGTGGGAGGTCAAGAGTGCGCCTGGAGCTTTTCACACCCCTCACAGTTATGTCCTCAGGACCATCCCAGGGGTTGGCAAGCCTCAGATGAGATCAGGAACCCAAGGCTCAGAGATAAAGGGACTTGCCTAAGGGCATCAAGCTTCTAGAAGGCAGCAGCAATGGGACTCCAAACCTGGAGCTCTTGCTTCTGCTCCTGCCAGTGCCTGCTCTGCGGCGCCCCTGCAAGTTTCCTGCCTAGGAAGCAGAGCCCAAGACCAGGGTGAAACTCCTGCCTCTGCCTGCAGGTAAGTGGGGAGCTGAGTGGACAGTGGCACTGGGTGCTTGCCCCACTTTTCCCCTGCACACCATGAGTTTGGCTTTCCAGCCATGCTAGCTAGCATTGACCAGAAGAAGAGCTGACCAGGCCAGCCCACCTCTGCTCCTTCCATCCCAGGTTTGCCTTTCTGGGCCTGAGGGGAAGCCAGGCTTTCTTGTCTGTAGAAACAGGCTATTGAGGGGGGCCTGGAGAATAGGAGGGGGCAGGCTTGTTTTTCTTGGTCTTGAACCCCAGAAGAGAGAGTCGCAGTCCTACATGGCAGGGAAGACAGGACCCCCAGATTGTGTGGCTACAAGCAGACCTTCACTTTGAAATTTGGCAATGATATCCCAATAATTGTCACAGTGACTGCGGGGAGGGAGTACATGATGAGTCAAGAGCGCCACAGCAGCTTAGCAACCTGAGACAGGCGGAGCCTGCTGCACAGAGGGAAGAGACGTATCCAAGGTCATGAATGTGTGGTGCAGAGCTGTGTCCATGTGGTCATCTTGAACCAGCTGTCCTGCTGGAGTTAACACCTCAGCCTGTGTGACCTGGGCCCTATGAGCCCCAGCTTCCTCATCTTTAAAATGGGAGAAGGGTGGGGAGCTTAGTGCTCAGGCCTGTTCTTCAAGCAAGCACCTTAGTCATTACTCTACGTGGCTCCAAGCTTCATGTTTGTCTGCTCCATCTCCTACCACCTGCCCCTAACCCCATGAATCCAAGAGTAGTCCCAGTGTCAGCATCACACACAAATCTCTTGAGCAGCAAAATGACTCTCCTAAGCCACTAGGGGCCCAAATTACCTACCGTACCCCCTTTGCAGAGGCTCTTACTTTTGCAACTGTTGAATCAATTCAGAACCAGGAATGCTGAAGACCTACCTTGAGCCCTCATGGATTCTCCTTTCCTTCTCCCACTGCTCACTCACTGCCACCAGGGTTTGAAATTTTGACAGATGTAGAGACATGGGGGCTGGTACCTCTTGCCTTTAAAAAAAAAAAAAAAATACTGCTTCACAAATTTGGGTGTCATCCTTGTGCAGGGGCCCTGCTGACATTCTCTATATCATTGCAATTTTAGTATATGTGCTGCTGAAGGGGGCACCTGCCTTCTTCCCCCGGAGTTACTAACAGTGCCCTGCATCAGCTCAGCTTGCAACTGGGGCTGCCAGATGCAGCTTGGCCTGTGTCATATTCTCTCTACCTCTCAGAGCAGCCTGAACTGTGCCCAGTGTCAAAAAAGCAGAGCAGGAATTCCCAGAACTGCCCTTCCTCCTGCCACAGGTCCCTGGCCACTTGCTGCCCTTGGCCACTTCCTTCATAGCCAGGCTCTATAATATCTGTGTGTATGCCTGGCTCTGCCTCCTCCCTCCCCATTCCTCGCTTCCACCGTGGTAGCCGCTGGCAACCTCCCCAGATCTAATGGTCCTGTAATGAGCTGCCCTCACTCTAAGACAGTGCCCACTCCTTTCCTTCCCTTGAGTTTCCACTCCTGGGCCTGTGTAGCCCATGCTTAACCTGTGTCTTATCTGCAGTCTCTTCTGTTCTCCTATCTATAGAGGTTACAAATTAAAGTAATGACTCTGTATGGAGTGACTGCTCCCAGCCCCCAACACCTGGTAACACCTGGGGTTGTTTCTGGGCTGTGGCATCCTGTGATGCTGGGCAGGAGCCTGTGATGCTGGGCAGGAGCCTGTGATGCTGCTCAGCACTGCCGCACAAGCTGACCTTTACCACCGTCAGCCAAACGTCAGTGCTGGAGTTCAGAAACCCTGGGCCACAGATTCCAGACATCTCCACCCTGCACGTCCCAAGGGATCTCCAAATCCACGCGCTTAAAAGCTACATTTATCTTCCTGGTGTGTTTTTTCCACTCACCAAGTTTCCCTGACTCCATTCTCTGTCATCCCTGCCCAAACTAACTTTTCCCAATTTTCTCCCTAAAGCATTGATGAGGAACATCCCTATGAGAGTTGGTGTAAAACTCTCCAGGGTTCCCTTCCAACTTCTGGTGTGTGGCCTCAAATTACCCAGTTCCATTTCATCACTGTCTCTTCCAAGACAGACAGCTGTTCCAAATTCCATCTTCTTGCCCCTTTATCCAGCAAATCACCTAGTCAAAATACTGTGCAAAATGCTGTGGTACGATCATCTTGTCTGCCCTGCAAATATACTTTTAGTGGTCTCACAGGGTTCTGTACCTCTGGAAGTACTTACCATTTGGCATTGCAATTATTAATCTCTCTCCAGTCTCAACCAGGGCCCCGTCCTGAAAGGGGGACACTCATCTGAGTTATGGAATCCTTTCTTGGGGCCAGGGGAGAGCTGCAGGGATCAGGATTTCTACTATACTCCTCAACATGGGACCTTTGGGACTGGAAAAGCATGGAGCAGGCTGGCCAGCAATAGACCCCAGAAATATTCCCTCTAGCCTGGGAGCATTGAAAGGACCCCAGCTGTGAAACTGGCCTGGCCTCTCTATAAGAACACCTGCATGGGCTCCCTTTCTTTCTGAAGGCATAAAGCCGTGGTCTCTGGATTTGGATCTGTTTCCATTCAAAGGCTATGTGTTAGGGGGGCAGATATTGGAGAGCAAGTCAAACGGGGAGGGAGACCGAAGCAGGTATGCTGAAGGACCACAGTGAGGAGAAAGCCATGCTACCAGTTTCCGTAAGACCTGGCAGAGCACACCTGGGCCCTTGTTACACTTAACTACTTACTGCTCTCTGGCTGTTGCACCTTGGCCCCAGCATTCCCTCTCCCCTCACCACACAGGCATCTCTTACTAACTCCACCCTTCCTTTCCTCTCTCCTGTAAGACCCTCCCTGGACCTCAAGGACACCTAGGTTTCCATCTGTTTCAGTCACCGAAGTACTGCACTCCACAGCGACTGTAGGGACTCCCCCCTCTGCTGTGTCTTCTCCCCCGTGCAGCCTGGCATACCTCAGGTACACGCCTGTTGGTGGGCAGAAGGTGCTGCCTGATGCTCACACAAGACAGTACAGTCTTGTCCTCTCTTGACTGACTCCTGTGCTGTGTGGGATGAGGAAGGGAAGAGGAGCATGTAAAGAGAAAACTGGATTTTACAAAGAAATGCTGTTTGTACCAAAATATTTAATGAATATGCTGTTAAAATAAAACCAACAAAAGAAATAGTAATACAATTTTACTGGTTTATATTTCAGTTCGTAAAGTTGACACACAAACTACCCTAGCACAATGTCCACACACCTAGGATTAGATGGGCTTACAGCTGTTTTGATAACTGAATAAGAAAGACACAGAAAGCAGCAGAGGGGGATGATCGTTGGTGTTGGTGGGGGCGTGTTGCCACTTGTTATCTCCCTTCTCAGAAGACCTCAGCAAGCGTTAAGTACAGCCAACAGGAAGAGAGATACAGAACAGCAGCCCAGTGTCTCTATATACAACCAGTGCCTCCTGTCACCAGCCACCTCCGCACTGAATGCCAAGAAGAGGACAATCATTTTGCAGACAGCCTGTCAGCATTTCACTATATAAATTAAAAGTTTTTTGTCTTTTGCTTTTTAATAAAAAAGGTGCTAAAACCTCCATCATAGCTTTGAAATGAGAACCTGCAGCCCATCTGGACAGTGAAGTCTGTGCCCAGCCACACATTCCAGGAGGGCTCAGAAGCCGAGTCAGGAGGGACTAGGCCAGGAGGGTGGAGACCTCACGGCCTGTGCACGCTCACATTTTACATAAATACAGTGCAGTCCTCACTTATACAACCTGTTGTGCAAACACACTAGGAATCTTGGAAGTGAGGGCCCTTTTCACAGTTCCCACGGTGGCAGGGAGGAGAGCAGGGCCCAACAAAACTCAAGTAAAAGTAAGTGCCAAGTAACCATGTCAGTAAGTTGAGCAGATCAGCAGTCCTAGTCTGGGATTTAAACACTGTCAGCTGGGTACATTGGGGAAGATATTTATATATATATATGTACACATGACACATTAAGCAAAATAAGATTTGTCCACATTATGACTAATCCAGCTTTGCAAGTCACATCATCCACCCAGCCTTAGGAAATCATTTTGGCAGCTAATGCTAAAAACAGGAACTACGAGAATTGCATAGAATTTATCAGAAACATGTGAATAATGCTAAACCAAAAACCTGTCTCTCATATAGTTTAACAAAACTAGGTGGCTTCGGCTATAACTAGGAAACGCTCCTGTTAAAAACAAAGTGCTTCTCATGACTACCTGGGGACCACCTGCTGGCACAGACGGATAAGAATTATTTTAATTTTTGATCCCTGCTGCCCCGCCCCCATGTATATAATGCATATTAAAAAAAATAGGTTTAGAAAAAAAAAAAATCAACACACTGAAGGATCCCCAAACGCTGATAATGTAAATTCAGCCTTTAGGCTGGGTGAGGTGTTGACCTACACGGAAGGGCC